CGTATTTTCTAGACTTATGTTGTATCAGACAGTCAGTTATATAATAGAGGCTCTAGACTCGTGACACCGGATATTTGGGGCTGTGTAGTTCATGTTTATTTGACTTTCGCTTATATTTTGTTATTTTTAAACACTTACTATGGAAATTTGGTATTTAAACCTGTGTTAGAAAATGGTTTTATAAAAGGAGTTTGTTGTAGTTAATGGTTTGGGTTGGCTTGCCTAGTAATGTGATAGGCGCCATCACGACCAGGTATTTGGGGTCGTGACACTTAGTCAAACCAGAAGACGAAATAAGCCTTCAAAGCTCGCAATAGATCTCGCCCCAAGCCTGGCGTCGCCAGGTATAAGGCCTGCTTAAGGCCTCGCATCGCCAGCTTTTTCCTTTTCACTATTCTCGAGCACGCTTTCAATGTTTAAGTATCTCTTTTGCTCTACTTTTATCTTCAATTCACCTACACATAAAATAGACTTCATTACTGATAATAGGCTATAATTATGTAGTTTAGCTACCATTTACGCTCCAACTTTGCTATACTTTATTGTTATATGAATGTTAAATGATAACAAATAGCTCTAATTATGATCTTTGTGCTTTGTAGGAGCAACTCCTGACTATGAGAATATTAAAGAGTGTTTGGAGATAATTTGGGGGCAAAGAAGGCCAATCGGAGGTGAGTGTGCGCAAAAGAAGAAGGAAAAAATGGAAGACAAATTGCACTCCAGGAGAGCGGGCCAACTGCGGCCGCGCTCAGGCCGCGCTTCTCAGACAGAGGAGATGGCGTTATGAGTGGTCCAACTGCAGCTGCGCTCGTTACTCCGAGGAATTGTATTTCAAGGGTAAATTTGTAAGTTCAAGGGCGACTCTCTTTGACCTATAAGAAGCACAGCTCGCCAAAAAAGAAGGTATCAAGGCTTTTGAAGGGTTTTTGAAGGTAAGAACAAGCAAGAAGCAAAGCGGAAGATTCATCATAGAGTTTTGACCTTTCTTCCTCTTGTTTTTATCATTGATGATGAATTATATTGCTATGATTGTGAATATGATTATGCGTAACTAAACTCCTAATCTAGGGTTTTGATGGAACCTCTTGGAGGATGAATTTCTCGTTATGTTAATATAGATTTGCCATAATATTTTCTCTATTTGTTCAATTATATTGTGATTGCTGTTGATTGAAGGGCCCTCAATCGGATGTACCTATTTAGTATGTACTACTCGAGAGATAGTGCATATTTAGGTAGTTGTTGAACAACACCACTCCTAACGTATATGAGAGATCGATATGGAGGGTTTAAAATGGGATTAAGGATAACGAAACCTTGGTGCAATCCGAGTGAGCCGTAATTAATGCTAGCTAGTGTAATTCAAGAGAATCTATCTAGTAAATTGTGGTATTTACTCGGGAGAGATCGGTAGAGAAAACTTAGGCAAATTTATAGAAAGCATAGCGGAAAGGATTCTGACAATAGGGGAAATCATAACTCTAGACCTCCTTAATCTTGTCTCCAATCCTAATACTTGTTAATTGATTGTTTTACTGCTTTCTACTATTTGTTAGTTAATAGATAAAAATAAATATTATAATCTGTATAATTAGGAAATTGTTTAGACTTGTGTTTCTTAACGATATTGAATAACTGTAGCTACGCCTTAGTTCTCTGTGGAATTTGACTCCGGACTTGTAAACGAGATTATATTTACAACGACCGCTTAGTCCTTTTTATAAGATATAATTGGGCGTGATCAATTATCTTCACAGTAAGCTTCATTTAAAGGCTATGAAAAGTTTTCTTAAAGAAATTGGTGACTTTATCCTCCAGGACATTCCAGTATCTCTGGTAAAAGAGTGTGTGGAGACCATCAGGCCTAGAGGCCTTAGTTGGTTTGAAGGAGAACATAGCAGCCTTAATCTCACTACTCCTTAATGGTGCATTCATGTTTGCCTGCTCCCTAGTGGAAAGGATGTGTGTGTTGTAGGTTGTACTCTGCCAGGATGTGGATGAGGATTGGTGCTCAGTGGTGTATAGAGTGTAGTAGAAATGGTAGATATTGTCTTTTATCTCTTGTTGCCCCTCAATCCAGTTTCCTACCTTATCCTGTAGGGCCATGATTTTGTTCCTTCTTCTCCTATTGAGGGTTGAAGTATGAAAAAACCTAGTATTAGCATCCCCTTCAATCAGTCAATTAATCCTAGACTTAGTTCTCCAGAAAACTTCCTCACTATTCATAATAGAAGAGTACTCCTCTAAAAGCTAGCCCGCTAAACTCTAAAGGAAGGTGCTAAAAGGGTAAGCTGTGGATTTCTGGATGCCACCAAGTCTGGATAAAATGTGTTTCTTCTTGTGAAAGATATTGCCAAACACAATTCTGTTCCAAGTGAAAACTTGAGCTTCGAACTAAGCATTTCCCCTTTCTAGACTACAACTCCCCTCACAAGCTTGTTGGACAATATTAGAGAAAGAAGGGTGGCTACACCACATGGGTTCAAACCTAAAGGGTTTAGATGGGGCATTGCAGGTGTTGGGCTATAACTTGACTAACATAGGGCAATAGTTAAAATGGGTTTTAAGGAGGTGGCTCATAGTACTATAAGGGTATTCCTGAATCCATGTGCCATTAGCAAAGCACCTATATAGTCTTTCTTAGATTAATTGGCTCATGTTTCTATACCTCATATCAGTCGAAGTATATTTACTTCTCTTAAACTCCAAATCAATTAGCTTGTAATGGTTCAGACACTACCAGAACAAATTAGCTTTTAGGGCAAAGATAAAGTTTCCCCCTGTTTATCTCTAGCCCTTAGGACTTCATTGAAGTCCCCATCTACCAACCATATTCCAATACAGTTGTCAGGTATGGCTCTAAGCTGGTTCCAAATATTTCTTCTATTGCATAAGTGTTGCTAGCATATACAACAGTAAACATCCAAGGGGTGGTAGAGGGAGTTACCTTAACCATGACATTGATGCCTTGAAGAGTGGTAGAGACCTCATCAATCTTTAGGATGTCATCTTTCCACATTATGGCAATACCCCCTAACAAACCCATAGTTGGTTCTAGATTTGCCCAGTGAAGCCTAGCTCCTGGATCAGGTGCTTGTGTTCAGTCATCCTGGTTTCCAGGAGCACAAGCATGGCAGGCTTGTGTAGCTTGACCATTTTTTCATAGTGCCTCCTAAATTCCCTACTATTGGCCCCTCTAGTATTCTAGATGACGAAGTTCATTAGTAACTTGGGGTTGGTAAGTGACTTCCTTTTCAGGCATTTGGCTTTCCCCTTCACTGTTGTGCTTTCCTGATTCTCCATTCTAGGAGTGATCTGGGTGACTGTCTGCGCCATCACTGGTTTTAAATTTACAGCTGAATCTCTTGAGTTTTGTTCTAAGGCTGGCTTTAGGCTTACTCCGTATATTACCATGCTTCTTTGGCATAGTACGATAAACATTTCTCCCTGATGCCCTCTGAACTTTATTGTTTCCTCTTATTGGGGGAGCATTGCTTTTGTTTTAGGCACTCCCAGTCTTGCTATCATTGCCTCCAACTCTGTGTTGGTTGCCTCTAAGTGTTCGTGGATATTTTCTGACCTTGTCATTGGTGGTGGATCATTTTCCACACTAGTATCCATAGGGAGAAGGGTGGGCTGGGAATCCCCTCCCCTGGGAAGACTAGTGGGAAGAAAGGGAGGGTGTGGCTTACTTGTTCCATGAGTAAGCTCAACTGGTTGGTTGACAATGTCTGTTGACTTAGGTCAACCTGAGCTTGCATCAGTGTAGCCATCCATAGTTGGTGGCCATAGTTCAGTAGTGCATGGTTTAGGCTGGCAATGACTATTTTGTCCAGGTAGTGGAGGTTTTGGATGATCATTGTGATAGGCACTGACCCTATTGAGAAAGTTACAGGAATGCAATCCCTTGTAGATCCATCTCCAACCATGATGTTGGGATGTGGTCCATGGGTAGGGGGTCAATAATAAAAGGATGAGGGCTGGTTCTCTTTCCCAGGTCTGCATATTGGTAGTGGAGATCTGGTTGTTTGTGTTTTTTTTTCATTTTTGATGTTTTGATTGATAGTGGGATTATCTTCCCCATCATACACCCATTGCCTTTTAAGCTATCTTTCTTTCCATTCAGTTTCCGTGCATGGAGATCTTCCATCATTTGAGATTTTTGGGAGACGATGGCTTCAGTCAAATCAACTGAGGGGAAACATGGGGCGTAGTGGTGTGAGTGGGTAAGTCACTCAGAGAAGTTAAGGCCCCTACCCCTTTCGTAGTGTTAGTAGTATTGTTATTTGGTTTGGGCGCGTTAATGACCCCTACAAGTTGACTTATATCAGAGTTAGTTGGTTCCAAAACTGGAATTGCAATTTGTGAGACACACTTACCCGATGTGGATGTGTCTCTTTTGTATTGGGCTATGTGTGTGACATATAATGTGTCTGTGTTGTGATAGTGTGTGCCTTGTCTATGCGAGCATTTGTATCTATACCCGCTTTTTGGGTCACGTTTTAACTTGTGCCCGCTTTGCAAAAATAATTACAAGCGTACCCACTTTTTCACGGTACTTCAGCGTACGGGGCTGAAGTAGTAAAGGCAATCACGCAAAACTTCAGCATTCTAGTAGCCGGGCCTGAAGTAGATCAAGTGTGTTGAAGTTTTTGTTTGTAATTACTGAACTTAAGCATTCTAGTGCTGAAGTTTTGTTCTCTATTTGATGAACTTGTTTTGTTTGTAAATGCTGAACTTAAGCATTCTAGTACTGAAGTTTTGTTCTCTATTTACTGAACTTAAGCATTCTAGTGCTGAAGTTTTGTTCTCTATTTGCTGAACTTAAGCATTCTAGTAGTTTTGTTTTGTGATGTTGAAGTTATTTAGTTCATTTGTAAAAACTTCAACATTTTCAAAAACTTCAGCAGAAGATGCTGAAGTTATTTAGTTCATTTGTAAAAATTTCAGCATTATATAAGCTGAAGTTTTTGAAATAAAATTTGACTTAAAACTAAATGGCAGTAGAAGGGGAACATCAACTTCAGGTTAACGGACATGTAAAGCAGGCTAAAGAATCAGCCAACTCCATACAATCCAAAGAGCTGAGCAAAAAGAAACGCAAGAAATTCTTAATTTTTGTTGCACTCTCTACTTTGTTTCAAATTGCAATCACTCTCTTCTCTTCATTGTACATAATGAAAGTCAGAACTCCTAAGTTTCACGTCCAGTCCGCTACCTTTGATGTGTTGTCCAAAACTGCAGAAAACTCTTCATTCAACATTACAATGAATGCTGAATTTGGTGTCAAGAACACCAATTTTGGACCTTACAAGTACAGAGACAACACTGTTTATTTTTTCTATAATGGTGCGATTATTGGAGAAGCCTTTGTTTCCCATGGCAAAGCTAGTTTTCTATAATGGTGCGAGAATTGAAGCATGAGGAGGAGAAATGGGGCTGAAGTTGTTTAAAAAGTAGGTACAAGTTAAAACTTTTTTAAAAAATGGGTATAGGTTAAATGGGGGCGACCAAATAGAGCGCCCCGTGCAATTTTTACTGTCTGTGCTCGTTTCTTGGCACGAGCTGTGGTATGTGCTTATGGCATGGGCTATGTTCTGGTGGCCCAAATGTTTGTGACTTAGGCCCATTTGGCCTTAGTTGCCTGTCCCACTGAGAATTGGGTTGATGAGGCCCATATGTGTTATGCTGAGCCTTTTTGCTCCACAACCCTTGTGCCGCCCTCTTTGATGTTTCCAAGAACGACAAACTTACTTGAATCTGGTGTGCACTTCTTGCTTTCTGATCTGCTATCCATTGTCCCCGGTTGCCTGTACTTTTTGTGCTCTTCCATTTTCCCTTGTCTTATTGCTCTCCGTGGGAATTCCATCACTTTCCAATCCTGATCCCCTTGCGCACTGTGGCTCACCGTCGATGTCGCTGCCTTCTCATTTATCCGCTGTGGCAGTTGGCTTGGGCATTTTCTGAAAAGATTACTTATCCGCGCACACCCTTTGCACAATATACCTTCTCCCTCATACTCAATCGGCTGCCTATGTTCTCCAATTAGCACCGCGGTTTGGAGGGGTACCTCGATGGGTACTTGGATACAGATCTATGTATATCTTCCTCTTAATATGGCAAAGGTGCACATATCGATTTTCAATAGCTTACCTACCCTTTTTCCAACCTTTTTCAGGATCTCCTTATCGTAGAATTCAGTAAACAGTTGGGGAAGCCTGATCCAAATAGTGGTGGCTTGAAATTTTTACTTTGTCGGCACAAAATTTGGCTCCCAATTTCTGATTGAAAGGAAGTTCTCCATGATGAACCATGGGCCTCCGTGCAGAGCGTTCATCATGTTCTCCTCTTTTTCGAATTTTACAACGAAGAAATCCCAACCCAGATCTATGATGTTCAGGTGTTCATTGGGGTTCCATAATTGTTGCAATTTGGATTTTAGGATATGATGCGATACTTTTTTGCCAAAGAACTTAATAATGATGGAGAATCTCCAAGGGTGGTTGATTCTAATTTTCTGTTCCTGCCTAAGGATGATAGACCTGAAAATGTTGTCTATCTTGATTGATTCAGCCGTTGTCTCCGTTTGGTGGTGTTGAGTGTGATACACACTTGACAAAGTTTTTTTCCCCCGATAGGATCTCCTTAAAGGTGTTCTTTTTTCTTTCTGATTTGGTTCAACTTCATTTGGTGTTGAGCTGATGTCTGGTGGGCCTGGGGGTTTCAGTGTAGGTGGTGGTATTTGGTCCTGTGCAGGGGGTGTGATGGGGCCATCTTAGGGGGAAGGGAAATAATTGTAGAGAGAGAAATTTTTCTTTGCGCCCGAGAAAATTATGTACTAGCTCTTTCTAAACTGAAATGCTTATTTTCTTACTCGATGAACTAAAAAGTATTTATTCTGTCAGTATATACATAATTTAAATCGTGAACTAATCGCCCCCTCCCTGGTCCCACACATGAATTGCCATATTAAAGAAATGCAGTTGAGATTAACTCTAGATTAGGCAGAAAATCATAGAAAACCAAAAATTTAAATGGGGATTTTGACAAGGTCATTTGTGAATTAGAATTAACGTTTTATTTCCAGCTTTTGGTTCACACAATCACACATGATTTAAGAAGCAAAAGCTTCCTTTCTCACCAATTTTCTTAGGTCGTAAATTTTCATTTTCATTGTCTCGTCAACAAATTTGAGCATTTGTGGCATTTATGGTTGTGGTTTTCAAACATATATAGGGTTTAGAAAGTCACGTACAATTATCGTACCGTGTAATTATTACTTTAGTAATTATATAATTCGGTAATTACTATATATAATAATTATAATAATAACCTATTTTTTTGTTTGAAACATAAGTATAATGTAACTTTTACTGTTATGTTTTGTATTTCTTCACATTGACAGAGTGATAATTTGGAAAGAGTTCGATGAATATTTATACAGATGAGAATGGATAAATTATTAAAAATAATATTTGTGATACAAATTGACTATAAAAATTAAATTCCAAAGCTTTCTTTTATTTTCTTATCCTGAAAGCATATTAAAATTACTTTAACAATCTTTAATTATTTTTCATGTGTTCGTATTAGAAATTCTATAAGAAAACATGGCCTTAAAAAAGGATAATTGACATATTAATTTTCATGTGATATTATAAATAAGATATGAATATTAATAAGCTATTATTAGTTTCCTTTTGATATTGACCGCACATTACGTGGGTACTAATACTAGTAATTATAATAATGACCTATTTATTTGCCAGAACATAATAATACTATCATGTTTGGCTGAATAAGTATAATTATATAGATAAGTTTACTGTGTGACACATATATACGGTCAGACTTCTCTATAACATCATCCCTTTATAACAGTCGTTCACTATAAAAATCAAGTTTTCCTCATAACCGATTTTTTATCTATATTTTACCTCTCTATAAAACTTTCTTTTACCAATAATAGCAACATCTATATTTATAGCAGAACGCTCTCTATAAAATTACCCCTCTATAATAGCCACATAAAATCTTTAAGATTACTAATAAGAATTCTAAAAATATGCATACAATCTTTTTCATTGAACAAAGTTCCTATCTTCCATAAGATATAAGATTTGAAGATTTGCACATGATATATTTTTCACTAGATACCTTTTTGCTAAAAATTTGGACACGAATCTTCACAAATTCAAACATTGTATCAGTAGTAAAAAAATAAATATATGAAACAACTACAATTACAAAATTCTTCCATCAATCTTGAAAGATTTTATTTTTCTAGTAGCTTTAAAATGTGTGTGATAGAGTTTAAATCTTTGTATGCTTAGTCATGAATTTATAATAATGTATTAGCTTTCGTCAATATTTACCTAATGAAATATGTATATATTTTGAGATTTTAAATTTGAATAATTTTTTATCTTTTATATGTAACATTAAAAAATAAATAATGAATATTTGGAGAAATTTTACCTATAACATCCAAAAAATATTTAAACGTCACATGTTGTTATAGGTGTATTACAATCATTCACAAAATCGGAATAAACGAGACTGTTACAGAGATGTTTGACTCTATATATATATATATATATAGATATAGATATTATCAATTTTAATCCCCAACTTTCAATACTACTTATTATTTAACTACCCACAACCCTATAAAAAGAGTCCGAAACTGAAATGATGCATTTTTGGCACAAAATACGTTTCTACAGTTAAAAAAAAGTTATATTTCTACATAAAACGCAGTATAATACTGCGTTTTACTTTAAGGAAAGTTAGCCGTTAAAGTTAAACACAGTATTATACTGCATTTTATTTAAAAATTAATTTTTTTTAATAGGAAAACGCATTACAATACTGCGTTTAAGGAAAACGCAGTATTATACTGCATTTCCCTATAAAATTTGGGCCCACCTTATAACAGTTCTGCAAGACTGCAGAGAATAATTTGTTTTTTAGTGTAAAACGTAGTATAATACTGTGTTTTACACTAAAATGTATTATTATACTGTGTTTTACACTAATTTTTGGGCCCACCAATAAGTGTTCTGCGGATAACTGACATAACAATAATTCAAATACATAAAACGTGGTATTGTACTGCGTTTTACATAAAAAAATTCTGCACCCCAAACTCGGACTTGCCTTATTTAAAGGCGTTTGAATTTTATGAAAATCCATTCAAAACTTTCCTTCAAACTTCCGTTCATACTTCTCTCTTCTTCTTATCAATCTTTTTTTTATAATGTCTGAAGAGCCAAAAATAAGGGTTTCACTATATTGAGAGGGTGAGGTTGTGCTGGAGAATAACTCTGTGAAGTATAGCTCACCTCCAAGTGTCACGTTAAATTGCCTCTTACAATGAGTACGATAAATTGGTATCGTTGTTACGTAAAAAAATGAGTGTGAGGAAACGTTCGGTGAACCTTAAAGTAACCGGTAGATTTTCGTATTCAGTAACTCCGCAGGGGTTTGCTTATTATTCTGAGTTTAACATCGAAGATGATGAAACTCTTAGAGATTTTTTGCGGATTCCGGATGAATACAGGAAATTTATTGTAATAAAATTGTTGGAAATGTATGTCAAGGTTGAAGATGTTCCCAATAATGAGGGCGTGCATAGTAGGGATGACCCCCAATCATCGGGTAGTTATTCTAGAGCAGTTTTTGCTGGACAGATTGCTGGTAAAAAAGCTTGCCTTGATTTAAACTTGTCACCACCGGCGAATGAGCAACCACAAAATATTTTTTCGACTTTATATAATCCACAAGACGATTGGTAAACTTCAATTTTTCTACGCTTTAGCGATGTTTATTTTATGTTTTAATTGGATTTGTATTAACACTCATATTTTTCATAAGGGGTACCATCCGGATATGAATTTTACAAGTTATGACCCCGCCCCTAGTTGGAATATGCATAGTTCTGGCCTATTGGACCACGGTGGTCCATCCGGGAGTCATCACCAACAAGAAAATATCCATCATGAAACGTCAAGACAATACGACTTATAAGTAAAGTGATATAGCTATATGTAAAGTATTTATGTAGTTGGGTAGCTTATCATTTTGTTCTTTTTGTGCAGTGAAAACGAGCATCTTGATGTTCCTGACCTTACACAGTTGCCCATAGACGACGTACTAACTCGTGATTTGGCAGATGCGCAGAGTCTAGAAGATGATAGTGATTATGAAAACAATGTGGATGAGTCTGGAGATGACACACCCTTCCCTGATGAGGGTGATGATGAGGAGGAAGTGAATGCCGAACCTGAGCTGACGAGGGAGCATGCTCTTCCACCTCCCGCCACACCAAGAGTGTACGAGTCCCACGTGCCATTTCATGAGCGAAATATTCCCTACCTTGATAATTTGCCAAGTATGCCAG